CTATGAAACCGACAGAGCAATCGATCGGATAAGATGGGAAGGGGGGCCTTGTAACGAGGAGCATTGGATGGAAGTTGTAGGTGACTTCTTTGCTATTGCTACAGTATATAATGTACTTGTGGTGTTGTTAGGCAGTGGTGACAAAAATGACAATATCGATTTCAATAGCATGACATTTTTGCCGTTGTGCGCACCATCCACGGCTACAAGACCTGACCGCGAGATCGCCATAGGTCATCTTGGTTCTTACAAACACTTCATTCGTCTGAATCTGTCATCTGATTGTCCATTACCGCCTATTTGTAACCTTTGGCGGACATTCCGAGATGCGACGGTTGCAGGATGGGATGATCAGTATCAGACAAGGATCGAGTATTGGCGGCATATTCGTAGAGGAACTGGAGTTTGATATATTATGATATTCGACTTATGTTTGTTGCGATTGATGACATTCATTATATTATTCTGCATTATGATAGATATATTGTGATATTTGACAGTGTTTACCGTTTCACGTGATATTATGGAATTTTTGAGTTGGATTGTGGTATAACATTTGGAAATAAATGAAAATAAAATGAAGCAACAACAAGTAAAAAAAAAAAGAAAAGAAAAAAACAATTCAAATAACATTCATCGTACAACGAAATCCAAAATAAAATAAAAAAATATATATTTATTACATCAACGCTGCGCCCTTTCCCAATCCGCCTTAATTAGGGCCAGCGTATCTGCATGACGCGCCGCCACAGCCGGATCAACAACCTCAAAATCCCGCAGGAGGTCTGATGATGCGGAGAATAACCGATTCACCCACTACACATAAAAGCAGAAGTAAAAATATTATCACATATATATTAAAAAACGACTTACTATTTCAATGAAAGCACAATAACTAAAATTTGGTAAACGACTTACATAACCGGTGTTGGCGCGCGAAGGGACGGCTTCGTCGTCCGGCAGACTGTCAGGCAAGAGTCTAGGATGAGAAAACTGATCGTACCATTGCTGGTACTGCTCATGGGCCTCCCCTGGATCATCTGCGGTGGTCGGAGTACAATAAGTCAAGTTTATAGAATGCAGCTGCGGGAACTGGTCCCAGTGATCCACTGCAGTAGTATCCGCATGCTCAACCCTGTACAACCTAGAGTTCCAGGCACGGACTGCCTTGAGCGGACGATCTATGCGGGGAGGGACAGTCTGCACGTAGCCCAACTGACGCAACCACCGCAGAGGCATGTACGGCTCCACAATATCCTGGTACCTAAGGCATCCGTTATAAAGGGTCCTAGGCTCGATGTCATGTGGCCGGCGGTCGTAGGGCAGCCAGTTCACCTGTTCACAATTGCATAAAAACATTTATTGAAACAATTCAATTATTCCAAATAACTTTCAACTAAATGTAAATAAAATAACTTGACGCACCTCGGCGGCGGTGAGAATGTCAAGCTGCCTACGGAAAGCTTTGAGGCGCGCATCTGACCTCTCTGTCACCGCCACGCTCCACGAGGCTGATCAGGCGACACAGCCAGGCTCGGGGATCATACGCGCTCGCTGGGGTCGGAAGGTGGAGAAGTACTCGTATATCCAGGACTGCATGAGAGTCAAGCAGCCAGACACTCCCTGTGAGTCCCCCCTGCTGGCAATACCTAACTGTCTGTACAGGTATGCCAGCGCAGCCGAGCCCCAAGAGTAAGTCCCAACTTCCCGTACGTTGTCCATCATCTCGTGCAGGAGTTTGGGACTGACCCTGTTACCACTCTTGTCCACAAACAAGGTGGTACCGAGCAGCACCCACAACCAGCCAATAGCCACATGCTCAGCCGACCGAGCTGCGCCATTCTTTATCAATGCTTCAAAAACGGCTTGATTTGTCACAGACCCGTGATCCCAAAGACGCGTCATCAGATGACTCTGGTCCACCCCGAGGATCTCCATGCAGTTCGACTGGCAGGTCAGGCCCTCACGTCGTGCAGCATGATACTCATTTCACCAAAAGGCAGGTGAAACGAGTTGGTATTTGGCTGCCAGCGCTCCACAAATGCAGAAATGAGTGGAGTGTCGACGTGAGTATGCATGCTGGATGCCAAATGTGACAGCCCGGTCTGAACGATCATATCACGCGCATCTTGGACCATCGTTTCGAGCCAGCCCCTCAATTCACCGTGCGCGCCCTGCCTGTTTTGGCATTTAAGCATGCCTCTGAACTCTCCAGTCCACATACGGGAGGCTACGTGCCCTAGAAAACTATGGATAACACTCCCGTCAACGGGGCCACCGGGCACTGGGGCTGTAACGATCCAGGGGTCATTCTTCGGCCGTTTGCTACTCGCACCTGTATTAGAATAGAACAATCAATATATATACGACATATTGTGACTGACCGTATCAATTATTTAATAAAAAAACATATAATGGTAAACAACAATAAATACGTAAATCATTTACCTGAGGAAGATCCAGCGCCCGCAAAACGACCCCCACCCTGTCGTGGAGGATTAACTCCACCGAGTCTTTTACCTGGACCGGCTGCAGGTGCAGGACCCTGTGGCCGCTCTGGCTGTGCCTGTGGGTCAGGAGATACAATGTCCTGCTCAGCTGCCACAGAGTCGGTGTCAAATGTCTCGTCATCCCCATCACCACCACCATCATCATCATCATCATCATCATCATCATCATTCGCCGGAGTTCTGACTGCCGACTCAGAAGAATAACCCTGCGACCGAGTGATACGTATCCGAGGGAGACGTTCTGAACTGGCAGGTACGAGTGGCCCAGACTGCTGACCACTCTGTATCGGACGAACGAGACCTCCCGAACTGCCAGCCATGACTGAGCCGGACTGCCAACCGAACTGCTGACTACTCTGTATCGGACGAACGAGACCTCCCGAACTGCCAGCCATGACTGAGCCGGACTGCCGACCGAACTGCTGACCACTCTGTATCGGACGAACGAGACCTCCCGAACTGCCAGCCATGACTGAGCCGGACTGCTGACCGAACTGCTGACCACTCTGTATGAGAGGGGGACCTCCCGAAGTGGCAGGAATGAGTGGCCCTGACTGTTGACCGATCTGTATCGGACGAATGGGAGGTCTCAAACCGCCAGTCTGCCCAAGCTGTACCAGGAGAGCCTCACGACGCCTCTCCTCCATCTCCCGCCGAGCGGAAGCATCCACACAACGACTATACGTGTGTCGGGGTCCAGAACCCTCAAACTCGGCAACATGCTCATCCTATTAATTAGTAAACAAAATTTTTTAATTCATTAGTATAAAATTATAAATTGATCATAAAATTATAAATAGTATTATAATTATTAATATAAATCAATTATTAATATATTTTAATTAATAATATATACATACATATATTATTATTATTAATATATTTTTTTCTTAATAATTTTTTAATTCATTAGTATAAAATTATAAATTGATCATACAATTATAAATTATATTAATATAAATAATATTATAAATTGTTAATGTATTTTAATTAATAATATATACATACATATATTTTTATTATTAATATCTTTTTTTCTTAATAATATACTCTTTATATATTTTCATTTTAATATATATAATAATATATATGAAATTATTTTTTATATT